TTTCAGTCTTTTCGTGGAGTTATTATTTTATGTCACATATTTCATGGTCATTGTTCACAATTTATAATATATACTTGAGTAGAATATCTTCTGTTATGCCATCAATGACTATATAGTTTAAATATTTCTATACCAATAACTTCTTTTTTGGTGAACAGTCTTATGAATTGTTTTATATAGGATAAGGAAAAATGGCCTCTCTCTGGGTGTGGCTGTAAGCCAATCAGAATGCATAGTAATTTTATAAAGCTTTAAACCCAAATCGAACAGATCAAGAAATCATGAGCAGTGGCTACTGATCCTAAGTTAATAAGTATTTCAGCTAGTCGTTACGCTGATACATATTAATTTATACAATTAACTTTAAAGCACCTGTGTGTATGTTATATGACAAAAAAATCCATCGGTGGTGAATTCAGTAAAATTTATTGTCAATATTTAAGGTTTTAAACACTTTTGTATCTTGTAAAAAAGCTTGAAAGGACACTTTACATATATATATACGGTACTAGTTCAAGGAACAACCTGTTAGCCCAAGATATAAACATAAACTTTTGGAAGGAAAAAACTGACACATTCCTCACTGAAAGTGGAAAATCATGGTATGAGGACCACCACCATGTACAAACACAAACGCAAGTCCTGTGTAACCACCAAGCTCCAGTGTCGGTTCACCAACCTTGTAACACATTAAACTTTATCTCCGGAATCCAACCAGCTCCTTGTCCCTTCACCAACAGTCATCTAGACTGTGTACGCAGGTTTGTTTACACTGCGCTCTCTGATAACCTAATTGTCTGCAATTATTAATAGAAGGTGTTTTTGAAAATTACAGTTAAACATTTTGTGATTTATCTAAAGTAGTACATGAAAAGCAATGACAAGACGAGTTCCCAGGGTCTAGTTACTATAAGGTTACAAAAAAATATGTGAAAATCGGGACGGTGGATCCACGCCAAAACTATAAATGTACATTTGACCTTATAATGTATATGTATATATGCATGTATATGATTTGTATTCAATGGTGAAGATATTTTTTTTTAAATTATGAAAAGATATTTATGCCATAAACTGGTTTTATGACAATGTCGTTGTTAATGGGCTTAAAATATAGAAACTACAAAGTACATCTGATATAATTACATTCCATTACCGTATACATAAAATTTTGTATAAATAATACTACTTGAGTTTAATGAAATTTTATAAAAATACGTATGTCCAGAGTTCTTCCCTCACTTTTTTGGAAATGGGGCCTTTGGCAGTAGAACTTGGGGGAAATACATTGCAGAGAACCAAAATCAGAATTTTCGAAATTATACCAAATACATGTACAATTGTACCTATAGACTAAATATCCTTTATTTATTTATGATAGATTAGTTCAATTTAGATTTTGCATTGTCATGTGAATAGAAGCTAAGAACTACAAAAATGACTTCCACTTAAAAAGAAACGGAATAATCCATTAACGTTACCTGTTTAAAACCATTCCGTATATATAATTAACTGTCTGTGATCAATGAAAACCCTTCCTTTTGTTTGATTATATAAGGACAGCAGAACTCTATACTTGACATAAGCCTTCGATCATCATCCTCTTAGCAAGTGAGAATCTTCTGTAACAATCACAGACTGTAACTGCAAACAGTACAGTTAATTATAGAAGTATATATCCAGTATTTATTTGGCTATATACAGTGAAGTGTTTATAAACTGACAACAGACTTCTATCCTAATATATATCCTTGCCCTTTTAATAAGATGGAGGTATATACATTCTTCTGGAAAAGTTTTTTCGTAAGAAATTGATCCCCATACAAAGTATCTTTGATGGAATAGTAATACTTTCTCTAGGTGGCTGGTTCCTATACCTATATGTAAATGCAAATATAATGCAAATACTGCAAAATAAATTGTCACCTGACATATTACTGGTATTCAGGTCATTGACATGTGTGACAGCATGCATATGTCAAACAAAGTAAAGTGTAGATTGTCAATGTGTGTTTCGAAAATACGTTCCAAGATATTTATTCCTTGCAGAATCATAGCTCAACATAATTGGTTATGTACTTTAGTACAAGCTTCTGTACATGTACTTCCACAAATCTTTCAGACATCTTCAAAGTTGTAGAGAACATGTAAAAGTTTCATTTTTCAAAAAGGTTGTTGCCTAATTAAATGATACCAGTTAGATTGTTTAAGATATCTAATTAACTATTGCTAACCTGCATGCATGGAGTTGTGGGAAAAATTACGGACGTAGTTCTCCTTGTATATGCGGGTATCTCATTCACTGCACTTTGGGAGACAAAGTTCTATGTAAATATACACAGCAACAACAACATTTGATATTTGATATAGCGCCCTATCTAGCTATCATAAGCCACTCTAAAGCGCTTACAATGCATAGATATACAATTAATACAATAAGCATATACATTAATCAATACATTTTTTATGAGGAATTCGCAGGAGCTGCCTTATCAAGTGCTTACTACTAGTCCTATGCCACTTGGCTTATATCTCCCCATGTGTGTACGGTATGTCTGTGTGTGTGCTGGAGATGTAATGTGTTCTGCTTGTAGTACTAGTGGGACCGTAATTATATAAGCGTGCTTCCAATGGTATCATTTATAGTGCCACCTCACTTGAACGCTACAGCACAGATACTGCAACATCCACCCCAGACCATTTTATACTCCAATTTGGTTGTTGGAGGTGCATGGGCAGGAGAAAAATACTTTCTCTGAATATTCCATGCGTACGACAACTTCGGGGATCGAACCCCGGCTGCCTGCGTGGAAGGCCCGAGTGTTTACCACTCCACCAATCCGTCCACAAATGATCACAGCTATTTGTCATTGAAACTGTCTTTTTATTTTTACTTTTTTTCAGCTCTACAGAAATACCATTTATAAAGCATAAATGCCTTTGTATCCACTTTCTTGTAAGTAGTGTATCTGCATGTGGTTGTAATCACACCAAAGGTTTGAGGTTACAGGGTACCCATTCTGGGGTTTTCCCGTAAAAGGAGACAAGCACTTCCAGAAAAACTGTTTACTTGTTAAATGGTGGCTAGATATACAAATGTATGTATATACACAAAATGTGTAGGTGTTTTTGTCTGGCTTCATTGCTTCACATTTAATGTTGAATGTTTCGCGAGGAGTAACAATCCTTGTCATTGGTCAATAAAGTCTACTCTAGGTAGTTTTGTGCCAAAATTGGGTTAACAACAACTCGTGGAAATGACACAGCCATCTTGTGACTATCAATTTGAATGAAAATCTGTGGATATAATTGAATAATAAAATTCTTAGTCATGTGATAGGTCAAATTATTGATGACCTGGAAAAAATGTGCGATTAAAACTGATCAAAAATCAATGCTACAGTTAGTTGATGCTAGTCTAATCTTGGTCTGATGAAGGTGTACACGCTCAGGCAGAAACTGTATGTATGTTACGTATATATATCCATGCTGTAGGTGACTTATTTATTTTTACACATGCACTGTCATTAGGTATAAAACTACCAAATATTCCTAGACCAGTATACCAGGTAGTCACCTTAAATAACTGATTCATGTACAATGAACTACAGTGTATGTGTTTATGTTTTATGCCCATAAAGCTGTGCAAGAATTGATGATTTTTTATACTATATTTATAGACAAGTATGGCTACAATGTATGTTTTTAGACATTATGGATCCGATACATTGTAATACTAGGGCAACATTTTAATACTGTAGTTTAATAGACAAGTATATAAGTATGGTTACAGTATAATACTGAGTTAAGAGACTATGTCTACATTGTAATTCTATGTTTATAGAAAAGATCTATATGGATACATTGTATATATGGATACATTGTAACACTATGTTTATAGAAAAGATCTATATGGATACATTGCATATATGGATACATTGTAATTCTATGTTTATAGATAAGATCTATATGGATACATTGTAACACTATGCTTATAGATAAGTAGCGCTACTTGTAAGGTGTTGTTTCTTTAATTTTAGACAATTACAAGCATGGATAGTGTATTATTACCCCTTTGAGAAAAATCTAAGAATCTTATTGGTAAAAAACTACAGTGTACTAAACTGCATTCGTAAATCTCAGGGGGTATACGAAAATCTCGGGGGGTATACGGTCATGTCACATGATTCTCAGCAGTAATACGGTGGAATCACGTGATTTTACAAGGGGTATACGGGTCACGTGTCTTTGTATCTTGCGGCAGGGCAACGGGAAACTACTCGCATTCGTGGTCTGCTTCGCTGTTTACAAAATTGCAAAACGTTTCGCTTCGCATACTGATAAGGAAATACTCGCTAAAAGGGCAAACTATGTACCACAAAACACATAAAAGTTGAACAGACGAGTGGCAAACATGCTGAGGACGTATTTAAAAGAAAAGAATCAGGGAGAACAGTTCAAGGAATTTGATAAAACGAAACTAAATGAAGTACTGTGCCATTTTTATCTTGACAACAGAAAAGTTGATGGAGAACTGTACAAAAACCAATATNTAAATTCGTTACACGAATTTTTGGCAGGGTATACGGGATGGTATGACCCTAAAGGGTTTCGTATTTCCTTATCGGCCTCAGGAAATACGAAACCCTTTAGGGTCATACCATCCCGTATACCCTGCCAAAAATCCGTGTAACTTATAATACACGGATAATAAAAAAGTATTATATAAATACAATGAAATACTGTGTTTAAACTAGGAAAAAAACAATGCAAGACAGATTCACTCTATTACATAGATGGCTTAGCTTCAGAGAAATCCCTGTAATATGACATGTATCCTTATGCATATACATTTGTAATATACAGTGTCATATTATATATTTACAGGATACATATATTATATATTTACAGGATACATATATATTTCATATTTATAGAATATATATTTACAGGATACATATAATATATATTTACAGGATACATATAATATATATTTACAGGATACGTATGGCTATAGTGTAGGATCGGATCACTTGGCCAATACTGAGGTGCTACTCTCCTGTTCCCAGTCGACTCCCAATGGCCATCCGATCGGCTTTCCAACCTCCAACGGGGACAGTTCCTACCTGCTCGGCAACGCTCAGACAATGTACAGTCCGCAGCACCTCCGGGCCCAGGTACCCAGTCTGGGCGGGATTAACCTTGCCCAGCAACATCTAAAGGGCCACATGGCTCAGAGCAGCTTTGAGAATCCAGTTGACTTATCCAGTAGTAAACTAGTTGGCTTAAACAGACATATAAAGGAGGAGGTACAGCAGCATCACCATGGCTATAGTGGTAACCATGCAACAGTCACCTCTTCCATGACAATAGGGATACCCAACCAATCATGTGGTAAGATTTACCCCAATAAATCTCTACTGATTCTAGTCCTTTTTACTTAAGAATTGGCCTTACCTTTTAATTTCACTGTGTTGTGTAAAGTGTTACTGTAAGACATTTTTCAGCTTTTCACTTTTAGCAGACTTTATTTGGTGGAGTTATGGCCCCTTGATAAACGAAAAACATCATTATCTGCCATTTCTGTGCAATAACTGCAACAAATGTTAACACATTTTCTTCAAACTTAGTAACAGGGTTCAACACCTTAAGGGCTTGGCCTAGTTTGACAACCACTTTAATACGACTCCATTTGGTGGAGTTATGGCCCCTTGATTAACGAAAAACGTCATTGTCTGCAGTTTCCGCTTAAAATCTCTAGCAAATATTAGCCAAATTCCTTCAAACTTGATAACAATGTTTGTGTTCCTCTGTCTTTCCACCCATCTCGGCACTCTTTGGTTTTCGTATGATGATTGCTGTAGATACTGTGCAGATATTTCAATTCTGTATGCACATCCGACTAATGCCAAGTTTGCCAACCGATGTGATTTGTGCATATTTATGGATAATTAATGAGGTTAGTAAATTTTGATACACCATAATACCTACAATATAATAATTGTTCAATAAAAAGTCTAACTTCTGTATAAGGCTTTTTTTTTCTTCAAGTTATAAGCTATACATTATGTTTCAACAGCACGATACTCACATGTTTAAACCTAACCTCAATAATGTTTACCTACAAATGTCCTGCAAGCGGGGGATATAAGTTCCTTGTTTTCCGTGATCGTTCATGTTTTTGCAACATGTGTAACTATACCTTCCTCCTGACCTTTCATATTTTACACCGTGGCCTATTCAAAGGCAATTTCCTTATGATCATTCATTATTTTCACAATTTTCATAGTTTACACCATAGGTCATTGTAAGATAGTTTCCTCATGAGCTCTGGTGTTTTCCTCCATGGCTTCGGCCAAGTATAAAAAAAAATGTGTTTCTGCTAACCCTATCTACCCTTGATGTTTGTGTCTATCGTAAAGTTTTTATTGACATTTAGTGATCTGCACTGTTAAAAGTCAGAACTCCTGCTCAATATAAGCATAGTAAAATAATTTTCCAAAATTTAACAAACTGCCAACCTACCTACCCTATTTTTTCTGAGAATGAAATCTGAAACACAAGAAAGAAAGAAAAAATCTTAACTCTCCATGAGTATGGGATCAAGGGTCTTTTTTTTTTTTTTTACAAGGGAGAGGTTCAGAAAAAGGGTACATTTATCAGTTTCACTGCCAGGAAAATAATTAAAACACTGGAACAATGAAATTTGAAAGGACCTGACAGTTCTATTATTTCTTTTTTTCTATGATTTATACCATTGTAAATTAGTGCAGTATCATATAGATATGCATTTCACTAGGCCATGACAGGATGTTTACTTAGAGAGAGAAAAACCCAGAAAACTTGAGGGGAGGGCTATAGCTTCTGTATAAAACATTTTCAATTCAACGTCTTGGTCGGTGGGTATGGTATAGCAGCTCTGACAGTGTAACTTCAATGACATCTCTTTGACAGTGTGGCCAATATAAGGGGAATTGATTGTTTGAGCAGTAATTCTCCTTTATCAATTATTCATACCCACATCACAAGTCCACATTCAAGTGCAGGTTTTCTGCCTGTAGTTCAATAGGGGCTTTTTGAAGGATAAATAGCTTACAGTTACATATTATAAATGATTAATTTTGTAAATGATTGAAAAAGTTATTTTTACCTGTAATTGATTAAAAAATTATACATATTTTGGGTATGTTAAAAAAATCTCTGGTTGATTATTGTAGTCATAAATTTTTAATTAGACTTTTTATGCATGGTACTTGATCAAACAAACTGGCGTGACTTCTACATTAATCAATGCTGTAGAAGACAATAGGTTTTCGTAGATCAAATGGACTCAATGAAGCACAGCCTGTGCATTTCACTTGTCTTTAATTATTTTCCGCCATCCAGTGTGGATTTGATCCAATTTGTAAATTGCGACCAGGGGACTGTTAATGTGGCTGACTTGTGTCATCCCTCTGCTATCCCCACCAATCCATTGTTTTGTTTGCCCAAGGCTCCTATGCCAACTCTTAACCAGTGTGGGAAAATTTGAAAGTGACACAGGTGACGGTTTGTAAATTATCAATAATCTGGTGCGACAAGAGACCTACGTTTGTTGGCGTTCTGACTAAGACAAGCGTACCTGTAACTGTTGCTGATAAGCCTGCCCTCTAGGACAATGCTATCAAAACTCCCACTTATAGAGCAGGCCTTTGTCTAAGCTTCTGTCTGCTTTGTCTAAAGTCTTTAGAGACATTCATGGACCTCAAGTTTTCTGGGAGCAGTAATTATGACATGAAGTGAAATTCGATATGATTTCATTTGTTTGTGAAGCATATTATTCTCTGTGATAAAAGAAGAGGAATTCTAGGATTATTGAATTTTCTAGCAAATAACCAGCATGCTAGCCTCACACCAGGAATTTTTGTTTGACGACTTTCAACAATATGCATTCGAAAGTCCATTTGGTTACGAGAGTAAGTTTAGATATGAAAAATTTACTGTTCATTTATTTTTCGTTACAATGATAATGTAGAGTGTAGTAAAATATCATCAATGTATTTACTAGGAATAAGGAATTTGTTATAAATTACTGTTTTCTAAGTGTCAAATTTGGGTCTATAATTCAGCCCCTTTCCCCGTGGGGCTTATTCCAAGTTTTTGTTGGAAAAATTTCCTATGTCAAAAACTGTACTATTTTAGATGTAACTGTATGAATAAATTTGTAAAAAAATGATTTCTAGTTTCTAAGTGGTTTCAGACAGACGTGGATAGGATGAAAAAAAACCCTAATTTTCCTGCATACATTTTGTTTTGCCTTGTTCTGAATAATAAAGCTGCCATTCAAAAAGTATATTTATAAAAACACTAAACAGTAAACATTAAATACAATTTGTGTTATATTGATCAGAACCCTTGGAGTATAAAATCAACATACCAAGTACAGCTTATAAGCATTGAAAATTTAATTTGAATGAACAACAGATATAAACTTAAAGTGTTCTATATATTTGTTGTGATTTTTTTGATTTTATTCATGTGCATTTCACAAATTTTAAGAAACAGGAAATTTGATGTGTGTTACATTGTGAGTTTCCCCTGTTCGTATGTCTTGTGATACTGTTCCCTATAGTGGCTGTGTATTGACTAGTTTATTGTCAAATTATCGTCTGCCATTGATTAACAGGGCACCATTTAATATTGATCGTGACCTTGGGAAATTTCTCTGAATCGCCCGTCAAGCTTGACTTTAATTGTACTGTTTGGTTGGCCTTGTTTACTTTGGGGGTTTAACATAGGAACTCTAACGTAAGATTTTAGAAATAGATTTATTTAGGGGTTCAATGTGGGTGAAAATACAAACTATCCTTTGGACATACAAGGGTACTGGAACTGATGTATCGTAAAATATTTGGACCAATCAATTAAACCAAAATAAACCTGGTATTTATTTTAAAATCCCTTTTTGTACCAAATTAGGTGAAAATTAAATCTGAAAATAAGGCAGGGGACTATAGAGTAATATGTAAGTATAATAACATGTACCAGTACACATTTGTATGATTTAAAACAAAAAACAAAAATACTGGATCCTGCTGTTAATTGTCAGTTTTAACTCTGAACTTTTTTAAACTTAAATATAAATTAATTCAAAAGTACAAATCATACCAATTAAAAAATCTTTTTATTTCAGATGCAGCTCACATGGTGGCAGGGTCCCTTACACCACCAGAAAAAATCAATGGAGAATTAGTACCGATGGCAACGTCCAGCCCACTCAGCATTAGTACGATAGCCCAGAATCTACAAGCACCCCCAAGTCCCATCTCAACTCCGTCCCCACGTTTCTCATCAAATGGCTTCGAGCATCGAAGGTACTGCAACATTCTGTTGTACTGATCATGAGTATGTACTGATAGAGCATTTCTGTTTCCAGAAAATAGTCACACAATTGGGATATAGACTTACGTTAAAGTCTTGCACACCATTGATGTAGAGTTGGGCACATTTCTTAGGTTTTTTGATGCATAAACAGATTTGTATGCTCACAGAATTTTATTTTTTAACACTCTCAATATCTAAATATAACCTTTTAGATAAAATGTATATGTAGGATGGAGAGGCGTTGTGTCCCAAACCACAATTTGGTCTGTAAACCAAAGGACCAGGTCACATTTAGTTCAAAGGCCTTTTCATATTTATTTCCCCCGGTGATATTTTATGGCTTGCTGAAGATAATTTCCTCAAATTTTAGTGATATATGTAGGATTAATAGCTAGGTCACACCTGAGGTCAAGGCCACCTTGAGATCAATAAGTTCTGACTTACTGAAGATAGCTCTATGGAATTTTATAAAAATATGTAGAATAGAAGGCATTGTGTTGCATACCATTTTGAGGTCTATGTGTCCAAGGTCAAATTCTCGTTAAGTTCAAAGGTTTAATTGTTTGTCCAAGTCTGAACTTGTGCATCTCCAAAAGTAAATGTAAAATGTAAAAATGGTTTGTTGCATATACCAGTTTTGTGTTGGATCACTTCACACAGTTAAGTAATTGCACCGTACCAACTACCAGGCATGAAAAATTTCAAATCAAGATATCTAACGCATAACCTTTATTCCAGTCCCTATAACCTTTTAGGGTAGCAGTCAACAAGTCTTTTTTCCGGCCTTCTGTTATATATATATACATGTAATTTAATTACTACCAGAAAAGTTTGCTTAGTGATCATGAATACAAATGACAAATCACAACCACTTCACTAGTGGTCATGCAGCATCATTTCTCCATTTAAAATGTTAGGCCTCAACTGGTGGGTCTTTTTGGCTTGTTTTAGGAACACTGACAGTTAAATAGTTTATTACAGCATCAAGTTGACAATGTGTGACCTCAATGTAAATATTTAATACAGCAATCAAGTTGACAATGTTTGACCCCCAATGTAAGTACACAAAATAAAGTTGACAGAGTGCGACTTCTATTGTTAATATGTTACAGCATCAAGATGACAAAGCGTGGCCTCAAATGTATATATAATACAGCAATCAAGTTGACAATGTGTGACCTCAAGTGTTTAAATAATGCAGCAATCAAGTTGACAATGTGTGACCTCAAGTGTTTAAATAATACAGCAATCAAGTTGACAATGTGTGACCTCAAGTGTATATATAATATAGCAATCAAGTTGACAATGTGTGACCTCAAATGTATATATAATACAGCAATCAAGTTGACAAAGTGTGACCTCAAGTGTTTAAATAATACAACATCAAATGTGACCTACACCAGTTTTGTAAAAAGCTAGCATTACACAACCTAAACTGACCATATTTGTTACTACTACATAATGTACGTGAACTTACAGCATTAACTCGGTCACCCCTAAAATTTCATAATGGACTTTGAATTGGAAGAGTTCAAATGTGTCTTCAGGGGTGAATGAGTCGAGCTGACAATGCATTGCCTCACCTGGCTGTATTTGTTTCTTGTAATATATAATCAAGTTGGTAATACATGATCACTATCTAGACCTTGCACTACAGAATTGAGCTGAAATACATGGCCATTCCTTGCTATATCATAAAGCTTGTTATGTGGTCTACATGTCTGTCAGTCTGACACTGCTAGTGTGTGACCATGGTTTACTGGGTCACACCACTTGTAGGTGTTGATGCTGAATCATGACTGTAATACTTATAGGCATTTAGGTTATAAAACAGGTTGTTTAGTCTTGTTTGTGAAACAGTTGATGAACATAACTTGTTTCATTTAATTGCACTGATAGAATTCTTAGCATTTCATTTTACCAGTTCATGTATCTCACTATAGAATATGAGTATGTTGTTAAACTTACATGTATGTTATCATGAGTGAAAATCCCAGGTCCGAGGTGTGAGAGAATATAATAATGTTATGTGGGCAAGTGAAAATTTGCAAAATGATCAACAAAGTATGAATATATTATCAGGATACCTATTACAGAAAGAATATATAAAAAGAATACCTTTGTATCCAGATAGGCCTGCACTATTAACATGAAATGTACATGTATATCATATGTTGGAAACATGTTTCTGGTAAGTAGTTTTTAAAAATGTTTTGACCTAGTAACAAGACCTTAGTCAGAAGCTGTAGAGTTATAATGGTCAGTGGTATATACACCTAGAGGAAGATGAAATCTGATCTAAGGCAGGGAAGTATGTAGTCTCCATGTGTTAATAGGTCAGACGTGCACACATACAGCAAAGTCTGGAGGTCAGACAAACAGTGTTTCTATTTCACAGAGCCTGGTATAACATTCAGCCCCTAAAAATTCACCATTTCACATCACATGCTAATAAGTGAAAAAGAAAAAGAAATGACAAAGAATTGTTTATTAAAATGAAACAAAGAAAAAAATGTTTACTTGAATAGAAAAAGTGAACGACTTTGGGTTTATGCATATTCAATTAGTAGATGAATAACATCTGACGTCTGAGATAAAATTGTCAGAAATAATAAAACCATTATCTCCATTGTCCCAAAAGGTCACACATTTACCAGATATATACCCACAGTAAATTTATACTACTCATAGATTTAATACAAAGTTTGTTTGTGATTTAAATCATAAACAGAATAAAAAGGTCCAAATAAAAAACTAACACGACAACATTTTAAACAGTGACAAATACAGGATAGTTTCACTAAATACTCCCAAGGATGAAAAACTTACTATTGCTAGGAGCAATGCCCCGGGGGCCCACATAAATAAGTCTTACAGAGAAACATTTAGCTGAAAAAAGTGAAAAGGAATTTAAAGGATTGCAGAAAACAGCAGGGGATCCATTTTGAAGTTTACTTTTCTCCTATGTTGTACCCAGGGCACAAATACGATCAACATTTTACATCTGAAAACCAAATGCTTATTGAGACAACATGGTTCTTTGTTAGACGATTTGTTTACTGACTGTTGTTAGTTCTCAAACAAGACTGAACATGTCAGCTCATGGCCATAGGTTCAACTTGAGTATAGCAGGTTAGAGGTCAACTTACATACAGCAGGTTAGATGTCAGCTTGTGTACATCAGGTTAGAGGTCAGCCTGTATGGAACAGGTTAGAGGTCAGCTTGTGTACATCGGTTTAGAGGTCAGCCTTTATGGTACAGGTTAGAGGTCAGCCTGTATGGAACAGGTTAGAGGTCAGCTTGTGTACATCAGGTTAGAGGTCAGCCAGCTGTGTACAACAGGTTAGAGGTCAGCCTGTGTAAACAGGTTAGAGGTCAGCCTTTATGGTACAGGTTAGAGGTCAGCCTGTATGGTACAGGTTAGAGGTCAGCTTGTGTACATCGGGTTAGAGGTCAGCTTGTGTCCAAGTTGCATAATAGAACATGGTTATGGTGAAATGTTGGTTATAATTAAGTCTTATTTAGGACACATGAGAAGGAATTTGACAATATCAGACTAGCTCTTCATAATATGTTTTGCCAATATTGACTTTAATTGGTCCATTGGTGTTGGCTACTGTATTGTGTTCTGGGAGAAATTGTGTATAACTGGATCCGATACTTCTGATATTAGGAATGTCCTACAGCTCAGAATGACTTCACTATTTACTGGAAATACCTGGTATATATACACATTGCCGCTTTGCACACAAAAAAATAAAAATAATTATAGAATGTATATACATATAAACCCATTTCAAATCTTAATGTTCATGTGTAAGAAATATTGTACATGCTACTAACTGTTTAAGATCTAAAGAAATTGTTTGAGCTAGCTAGTAGATTACAATTTGATTACCCTCTGAATACTTAGGGGCTGTGAGAAAGTAAGGATGACTAATTTTGTCTATAGAGTATAGCAATGATTGGCCAATATCTCAATCGGATCCAATGGAGCGTGCCAACTGAGTGTTGTCTAGATTGTCACCAGTTTATCATATCCTGTTTATACCTACTCTCTACATTGTACAATCTTACCTGTAATGAAGCATAACTGTATCAAGAACATTAAACTTTCATATTTAAAACACTTATGTATATGTAGGCAGTCTTAATTCAAGATACATGATCATGGTCTGGACTGGTTAAAATCAACTTTAACTGCATGAAACTCATGCAATATTATTTCTGTTTGTGCAACATTTTTGGAAAATGGAAGTCCCACATAATCAAGTGTATTATTTAATATTCAACACACATGCAAGTTAATATTAGAATGAAATTAAATTTCATTGAAACTGATATTGAAATAGCTAGGTTCCACTGTACTGAGACTAAAATATTTCCTATTGCCATGGGAATGGTAACAACATGGTTCTTTATTCCAAAGTTTCTATAATATTCGTCTTAGGAAGTTACCCCTAGCACTACCACGGAACAAGTATTAGATATCTGGTGTATTCCAAGTCTTGTTCAACCCTATCTGACTTCATTAGTTGTACATTAGTATATCTGCTGTAGCCTATACATTTGTATATCTGCTGTAGCCTGTACATTGTATATCTGCTGTAGCCTGTACATTGTATATCTGCTGTAGCCTCACAGCCTGTACATTTGTATATCTGCTGTAGCCTGTACATTGTATATCTGCTGTAGCCTGTACATTTGTATATCTGCTGTAGCCTTAAAAGTGTTGTCTTATGTATACGTGTACCCTAACTGCAACCAGACCAAATTGGTGTCCTCTTCTTTTTCAGTTGATGTGTTTTTGACTTGAACCAAAATTTTATTTCTAATTTTATTGAGAACATTAATCTATATCTGTTGCCTTTGATGGTAAATATATAGAGAATAATACATGCCTTTTTCCATATCACACCCAGTATCAACCCGAGACTGCAATATCAGCCCAAGGGCCGAAGGCCTGAGGGCTGATATTGGTCGAGGGTTGATACTGGGTTTTATATGGAAAAAGGCGTGTTTTATTCTGTTTATTACATACTTACTAATAAAATCTACTATCTTATGATTTATTTTTATTTTTGAAATATTGAAAAACGATTTTTTTTCCAAAAGAGGTGTGATACGGTGTGATACGGCGGGGGCTGATACGGGGTTTGGGGGGTGATACGGCGAGGGATGATATGGGTTAGAGCAATTGTGTCGTATCGCATATACAAAAAACTCGTATTTATTAGTAAGTATGTAATAAATCTTCTGAATATGTATTCTCTGACTGAAATATGTAACCAATATTGATATGACCTTTTTTTCTATTTATTCCAAAGTGACTGTTTCATCTTAAAAGGGTGAATGCCCAAAAGACTAATAAACTTGAGTGTAGACATACATAATATGTTTGTAGCTGCCATTGAAGGGCCAAGCCTTCTTGATCTCTAAATTAAACCCCTGCTGGGAGCCTTTTTCATCCTTATAGTCTCCAAAGATAGATGTCAGACCATGTTAGTTATCATAGTTGTACCAATCACCCCTACAATTAGAAGAAAAAACTAATATATCTCATGTTATTTCTTTACAGTTTTTTTCTTCTGATATATTGTCATTTTTCATGAGATTGCAATACTTCTGAATCCAAAGTTTCTCCAGCTCAGTCTGCAGGGCTTTAAGTTGACTTGTGGCATTTAGCAATTTAACAAGTCAAAAAATAGTTTGTCTTAAGAGAATCAAAACACATGTCAAATAGATATGGCCTTTCAAATCCAAAAATCGAGGCTAACACTGAGACGTTCAAAAGACACTCTCAGGGGTCGCTTCAAGAAACCCTGTTCTGCCATATAAAGTTCGGAAAAGGGATAGAATTTCAAATAAAATAAATACCTAATGAAGTAAATGTCAAAAAAAGTTATAATATAATAATTCAATATATATAATAATATAATATGTTTTCTCTAATTTCAGTCAATACCAAGACCAGAGACTTACAAGGTAAGAACACCCATGAAGCAGTTTTTGGTAGGACTGTATTTGTTATACCGAATCAGGAGGTGAGGCTGTAATCAGGGCTATACAATTCCACCACTCGGATTAGTAGGAGTTGGGGTATTCAAACATCCCTTTCAATAAATTTGATAATAGTTTTCCTTGGAATGAGGTGGAGGAGAGATGGCATCTTCGTTCATAAATATAAATCCTGTATGTATATGTTCATAAGTCTGACCAGCTACAATCATTAGCCCTCCACCACTTGGACGCAGGTTAGAGGCCTACATGGGGCAGTCACCTGGTGCTTTTTCCTCCGGGAACTCTGTCTTCCCTTCACCACCCAAACCTGGCACATCCTTAAATGACCATAGCTGTTAATAGGACGTAAAGCACAGACAAACCAACTCATAAAGTCGGAGTATTCTCTGGCAGTGGTAGATACGGCCATGAAGGAGCATTGTCATACAGGAAACCCGACTCCTATTGTGACCTGTTGACCAGGTATGGAAAAGTCAGGCATAGATTTGTAGTGCATACATACATTTCGTATACCTAGCTAGGTATTTTCATCTCGCCCCCTATGGGATGCAGGTATATTCATCGCTGTAGTGTTTTTTTGTACATCTATAAACAGAGTCTGATTCTGAATACCAGGAATTATTCCGATCCTCTACGGCCATTGATCAGATTCCCTAGGTCTACTCTCCATGGACAAGAAGTTTCAAAATGTGTATTAAGTCATTAATGCAAATTTTTAAGTATGAGTATTTCCATGTTCTATATATACTTAATGTATCATTTAAAATCTCATTTAAATGACATCAAAAAGGGTAAAAATCGTCCTCATGCATTTTGCATGAATAACTCATTGACACCTGGGAGGGAAGGTCGTTGGATTTTCTCACCTGCCCAAAGGTGCAGGTATGAATGGGGAATCTCAAGAGAATGGAGCAGATGATCAGACAGGTATTGTCCAGTAGAGATTTGATCACCCATTGTTGACCGCAGGTGACATTTCTCAGGGATTGGTTAGCTTAGCAACCTCATAGATTATATTGATGATTAGGCATGTCAAGCTGACAGTGCTTTTTGTATAACATTCTTTGTTGTTGTGTTCACTGGTGCTATATATAGACTTGTAGTCTTGATACTTCAGACAAAGCTTAAGGAAGATTATCATCAGTGTTGTCATGACGTATTAATGTTTTCTAGTTTGTTTTCCCGATGGATTTATTAATTCATTTTTTGCACTTATCTCTACAAGCTACATCATTTGAAGTAAAATTAAGGGAAATGTTTTTTCAAGTGATTTAGAAGGGAAAAAAATATTACAGTAAATTGAATATCATAATCTGTAGCATGGCAATATTTAATATCTGTCAGTTGCTGATCATGTTAAGTTTGGTAATCCAGGACTTAAGGTTATAGATACTGAGGTCACTTCAAAGGGCTATATGTACTTAGGTCACTTCAAAGGGCTACAGGTACCGAGGTCACTTCAAAGGGCGGTACTGAGGTCACTTCAAAGGGCTATAGGTACTGAGGTCACTTTAAAGGGCTATAGGTACTGAGGTCACTATAAAGGGCTATATGTACTGAAGTCACTTCAAAGGGCTATAGGTACTGAGGTCACTTCAAAGGGCTATAGGTACAGAAGTCACTTCAAAGGGCTATAGGTACTGAGGTCACTTCAAAGCACATATCACCATACACCAAACATCAACAACAGAAAAAATGCCTATGTTGTGAATAATTATTGACACTTCTAAATGAAGTATAGTAACTGTCACTAACCTTTGAAGAAAAGGGGACTACATCAACCCTATGCAAGGAAAGTAAGAAAAGGGGGGTTGGCTTATTACTAGGCATGGGCTTATCACGGGTATGATACTTTCTGGTGTCACTGTGGTCACAGAATCACTGGATACCTGTATAACTACAGTTGATGGTCAGGCATGTTAGACAGAAGCTGTAGAAATAAAGCTTCTAGAGGTAGAAAGGAAGTGTGTCTCTTCCCTATGAGGAAAAAGGAGAGAAAATAACGATGTTGAGAACACAAAGAAATAAATGTTAATACATATTTCTGTTACAGGGAAGCTATGAGAACCTACCTGAAAGACAGAGGCGATCAGATACTTGTAATTTTACATGCAAAAGTTGCACAAAAGTCTTACGGAAATGAAAAAAGGTGAGCAATATTTTCCTGTGCATTTTTATATCAATTCAAATTTAGTAATGCATCTATTAAGTCAGTTAATGCTCTTGTTCACAAAATAAAGTTAACAGGAACTGACAAAAATTGTTGCAGAGCAATTGTAGCAGACTCATTTCAATGTATAACAAAAATGTGTCTTAGGGTTCTCTCCTTTTATTCTGATCCATCCTGACCATGCCTGACCTAACATGAATAGTCAGGCTGACATTGACACCCGAGAAATATACACAAATAACACTTAAAAACATAATACATCAAAATATTAGATATACATATACAGAGATATACATTTCCTTATCCTTGTCAAATCTACAAAGACTTATCTTTACTTATATATTGAAAGAATTACTTTTATAATAAATCTTATCATTACATAATTTATGAAATAGTTTACATATAATTAACTCTACATATATCATAATTCATCATAATTTAACTTTACGAATTACCTGTAATGAATTACTTGTATAGCAATTACATTTCATACAAAAAGAGCTATAAATGATGAGATACATTCACAGTTACTTCTACAAACAACAGACATACTTTCAACACACAAATAAGAGATACATTATTAGAAAATACACATTTTACAAATACACACACCATTTATGGAATGGAGGCATTATCAACTGGAACTTGGAACTTCCAATTTGAAAGGTTTCCCTCCAACCCTTTCCTCAGACTAATGTTGATAAATATTCTAAAGACAGAATACAAACTAATTACAATCAAATGCTTTCAATTTAATAAAATACACAATTATACTACTTTATCAAATATAATTCATTTGATTAGTTATATTATACACATTTAAAAATACAACATAGCACTCTCTATCAAATATCTTAAAACCTACACATACCTTTGTTCTGTATTGTGATTTCTATAGTATGTATAATAGTATATATTTATCAGCTCTCCTCCAAATCTTTCTTTCCACTGACTTTTGGTGGCAAATACCCTGACTATAATTCTAGCTGTGACCCCCCCAGGACCAATAAAATTACCGAATATAGACACACCTACAAACTGACCAACAGAAGTATCTATATAAATAGACAAACAGGTTTTTAACACATGCACATGACCAACACAGCACAAGGACGTAAAGCCCCATCAATCAAACAATCAACACAGCACCGGCACAGCACATTACAAAACATTCACATTTACATGAGCTATACTCACCTGGTCTGGGTCGTGCCTCCGGGCATGTTACAGGTAAAGTACATGTTTACTGTAGGTCTTCTATACTTACCTATGTATGTATATATACACACAAATGTATATATATATATAAAACAACACAACATCAATGTTTCATATATTTTTAGCTCACCTCGCCCAAAGGGCCAAGTGAGCTTATGGCATGGTGCGGCGTACGGCGTCAATATTTTACTTTAAACAACTTTTTCTTAATAACCGCAAGGCCTAGGGTGATGATATTTGGAAACTGGGATGAAGGGTTACAAAGTTTGTTCAAGTAAATGACCTTCACCTATTTTCAAGGTCACAGGGGTCAAATATGTTAAAAACTTTAAACAACTTCTTCTGAATAACCAAAAATCCCAGGGTTATGATATTTGGCCAGTAGCATGCTGGGATAAAGGGCTACCAAGTTTGTTCAAATTAATGGCCTTCATCTATTTTCAAGGTCACAGGGGTCAATTGTCTTAAAGAATCTTTATACAACTTCCTCTGAATAACTAAGAGGCCTAGGATAATGATATTTGGCAAGTAACATGCTGGGATGAAGGGCTACCAAGTTTGTTCAAATGAATGACCTTAACTTATATTCAAGGTCACAGGGGTCACATATGTTTGAAACCTTTATACAACCCATTCTTAATAACCAAGAGGTTAGGGTTATGATATTTGGCAAGTAGCATGCTAGGATGAAGGGCTACCAGGTGAGCGATGCAGGCCCATTGGGCCTCTTGTTTATTAAAATCAGAATTAAACCACTCTACTATACAACCATGATGGAATATTTTGAGTAGTGATATTGTTAGCCTTTGCAAAATTGGTGAATTGAAATAACAACTTTGAATAAACAGAAGAATATGAAAAAACATGTGAAGGAAAATGGGGGTCTCTTGTATTTTTTCCCCCAATTTACATCGAAAATGAGGTTTAGATGACCTCTTGGTTGTAAACAAATCATAAATGCGTAGTGTTTTTTTGACACAAACAGTAATTGAAAACTTATTTTGCGAAATTTGGTAAACGTCTATTTCTTTTGTCAAGTAAAGAGCGTGAACAATTCAAACAGCATTCCATTGTCAAAGTATTATCAACGTTCTTTGGTGTCATTGACAGATTCTTTTGTCCGCCTCCCTGTATATATTTATTTGGAAGTGGCTGGAAAAAGAAAAAGGAGGAACTGGAGAGGGAAGCTTCAACAGAACATGACTCCATCGTGTGTGCCTTTATGGGTATCGGTAACTCGGACCAGGAGATGGTACAGCTCAACCTGGAGGGAAAGGTGGGTCTCTGTCCTCCTCGGCTACCGACTGTTGTCTGTCATAAATCTATACTGTGGCGACTACAATAGAATGGAATTACTCATCTCATGATTAATATTAAATGTATATATAATTGTTCTGATATGAATATATATATAAGATATCCATTATATAAGAGAACATGAGATTATGTAATGAGTATAGAAGTTTTCCTTTCAACAAGCCTACACCTGAATTGAAATCGTGACCATATTTTTGTCTTAAAATGTAAACAAATTTTATAAATTTTACATTTAACCAAACCTGTACATGTCAGTCTTACATGCATGGTTATGTGAAATCATGTTTTATCAGATGAGGCACATGTCACTTCATAAGTCGTCTATTTGTGTAATATTACTGTTGACATATTACAAACTAGTGTATTGATATATTCACTACACTATAATAGTATATTATATGATGAAAAAAATATCTGCATTGGGTCACATATTATAGCGATAAAAGTTGAAATATCCTTGAACGGAGCTATGCTTCTGTTTAATTGCTTCAGTGATGTAACTCATCTTAACATTTGATTGGTTTCCTGTTTCAGAATTATTGTGCCGCTAAGACATTATATATATCGGACTCCGATAAGAGAAAGCACTTTATGTTGTCTGTGAAGATGTTCTATGGATGTGACCAAGAAATTGGGGTCTTCAACAGTAAACGAATCAAAGTCATATCAAAACCCTCCAAAAAGAAACAGTCATTGAAAAATGCTGATTGTAAGTATAACAGACTGAGACATCGGTGAATTTTCTTTTTCTAGGTCATTTTCAATGGGAGACAGTGTAAGTTCATCACAAAGAGATGTAGGAATCAAGAAGCTTATGTAAATGTTCTTGATTTAGATGTTATTTAATCTTGTTAATTCATCTTAAGGAAAACAATTGGATCACAACTGTTGTTTGAACAGATTACATCATATTATAGCTGGCTTCATGATGGATGTAGAAAGCATAACAATTAATTTTTCGTGTTGGGAGAAAATCTCAACTTGAAGCATAAAATTGTGAATGTCTTGCCCCACTGCAGAGCCTTAGGCTTGACATTTAAAAGTCATACTGTGGGTTGAGATTTTTCTGTCTCACAATCGAAAGTGGGCAAAGATTCATTATTTTCGCACCTCAAACAGAGATATCCCACGTCATACCCTGTGCTAGATATCTGATGTTGTAGAAAAAATATAATCTATGCTGTGAAATACGTTGTTTCCTTTTTGAGGACGGACAACATTTCACTCGGAAGAATTCAAATGTAGCTTAAGTAGTTGTAGAGGCCATGTTTATTTGAGGCCCCAGACGGGATACTTGTAGACTTGGCAAAAACTACAAGGTGCAAGAAAAAAATCAATTACCTGTAAGTGAGCGAGATCTGATTATCTCCGTCTCCGGCTAAGATAACCCAATCTCACTCAGTAACAGGTAATAGATCATATAAGTCTCCATGTAGATACAAAAGTCTGATCACTGATCTAGCACCATGTTTGTGTTACAGTATGTATAGCCTCAGGGACAAAGGTAGCACTGTTTAACCGACTTCGCTCTCAAACTGTCAGCACGCGGTACCTCCATGTAGAAAACAACAACTTCCACGCCAGCTCAACTGAATGGGGAGCTTTTACCATACACCTCTGTAAGTATAAGTAATTCTCTGAAACTGTGAGGGGCAAATATACTGCAAATAACAATGGGTAAATTTGTATGCAAGTAGAGAAGGCCAAATCTAATGGGAAATTAACCATACACCTTCATGTATATGTACAGTAAAACTATTGCCTCCATAAATAAAAAGAAAATCTTTTTCTAAATCGGGGACACGATTGAGGTTCTGGGGTTGAACAGGTGTCATTGTATCCAAATATTTTCTTCCTAGTATGTGTCGACCGGTACCCATTTCTATATCTGATTAGATTTGAGCTGTCATAATTAAGTGTAAAAGTTTTATTCAAGGACATAACTGTACTTACAACAAATTTAAAAACTCTAAGCACGTTGGGAAGTTCGTCTTTTGTTGTGTTGGAAATGCAGTTCAAACTGTATTACACTCTACAAACTGTTCTGTACTATGCTGTCCCCATTTATTCCTGAATATCCTGTAACAAAGAAATCTGTTACGATTGTTTACAGTGGACGAGAATGAAGGCGAGTCTGAAGAGTTCACGGTCCGCGACGGTTATATCCATTACGGTTCTACTATCAAACTAGTCTGCTCTGTTACAGGGATAGCTCTACCTCGCCTTGTAAGTACAAACTAGTCTGCTCTGTTACAGGGATAGCTCTACCTCGCCTTGTAAGTACATGTCGCTCACAAGTCCAGTTGATGGGGAAGTCCTAAATGTGTTTTCACAGTTTTAATGAAGGTTTGCAGGCTACATTTGTAGATCAGCACAACTCATTATCTAGCCTTGCTAGTATTCACCTTGTAATATACAGTAATACATATACTAAATTCTATCACACATGTATGGTTTTAACAGAGGAAGATAAAACGTTAGTCTCAAATGAAACTTTGCCAAATTCTAGACACCAGCTATTCTTATTTCAAGGATTTTGAGTTCCTGTTAATACCACATTTGAGGTGATGGACTCATTGTCCTGCCTACCATGTGACAAGTCTGCTGTGTAATGTAACGTTCACTTTGTGCTTTAATCGTTAGAGAATGTTGTCACATCAAGGTTGTAATGCAGCGCCTGACAGATGTTTGGAACCTACATGTAAAGGGCTAGACAGAATTTTCTGAGATCAAGAGGGAATTTAGGCTGAAGTTCCATGCAAAAACCAGCCTGAGCATATTTGCATGATGTACCATGCACATGTGTTAAAAACATGAGCATGCACATCTTGCAAATATGTTTTTCACTGAATTTGAAATTTGCATTTACGTCAAAAACTGTTTAATGATCAGGGGCATGGTCTTGATGGTGAAAGTAGTATAACCTCACCTCAGTAAAGTTTATATTGGTAGATTATGGTTTTAAATCCAGATTGATTCTTACAAAACATGCAAGGATTTCTTGGAGAAGAAGTATTGATAGGAAGATTTACTGTTACTATATGTTACAGAATCAAACATCTTGTTATTTCTATTATTCAGATAATACGAAAAGTTGACAAGCAGACAGCCATATTGGATGCTGATGATCCTGTATCCCAACTTCATAAGTGTGCGTTCTACATGAAAGACTCTGAGCGCATGTATCTCTGTCTCTCACAGGAGCGAATTATTCAGTTCCAGGTAGGTGTAGTACAGGGGCAGATAATCTTTCAACTTTCCATGTCAAAAAGGAGTATTCAAAGAATTTATAACATGTTTGATAGAAATCTACCCATAAATCAGAATCACCATTCATTACATTTAAGTGATGACATAAACCCTCAAGCATTTTACATCTCTAAATCTATACCTTCTTACAACTTCAAAACAAGATCTTGATGAAGCATATTTCTTTAAAAAAAAAAAATCAATCTTGCAATTTGATCGATAGAGAGAAAGTTGTTACACTGTACATGTGGCATGGTCCATTGATCTGTGACTAATAGAATTAGCATAAACCTACTGGCTTGATGATTTCATTATTTCTTCTAATTATCTCGCTAAATAATTCAATTTTAAAATAAGCATGTGGTCCACAAAGAAAAATTAACAGGGGATTATCAGTAGAGGGGAACAATTGTTAGGAATTTTTGCCAAGTAGATAACATTGTTTAATTTCATTGAGTAATAAACTTCAACATTTAAACCCCAAGCTTGTGTCTATAGCCTATATATGGTGCTGCCAGTCAATTATTCAATACTTGGGTTTCACTTTGATACCCTTGAAAAAATTGTGAATAATTGATGAACAAAAAACAAAACTGTTTGGTTGAATACTGCATTCACTTGTAGCTTAATTCTATTTGTGATATTGTTCAGTATTAAGGAGACCTTGTCCACAGAAAAGGGTTGATAATGGTACTATGTGAAGTATATAGCTCAGTATTAAGGAGACCTCGTCCACAGAAAAGGGTTGATATTGGTGCTATGTGGAGTATATAGCTCAGTTTTAAGGAGACCTCGTCCACAGAAAAGGGTTGATATTGGTACTATGTGGAGTATATAGCTCAGTATTAAGGAGACCTTCCATATTAAGGGTTGACATGGGTACTGATACTGAAGGCCTAGTCCATAGAAATTGGTTGATCAGCTCGGACTAGGGGCTTGGTTAATAGAAAACATTTATGAAAACTCTTCAAATTAGTGAGGGCTGTATGAAACCTGGATGAAATTAGTGAGGGCTGTATGAAACCTGTATGAACCTATTACAAGTACAGATGTATTGATTGAATGTACATGTACTATATCATATTGAATGAATCATTAATGAAACATTAACATCAGTTAAACTTGAGATGTTAATATATAATTTATTGATTTGGGGACAGAGAAGATTCGGGGGGGGGGGGGGGTTACTTAAAATAAGATAACCAACATATAAAGCTATACCAAAAGATTTTGGATAGTTCTTCCAAAAGATAATACAATATTGATACATATGACAATTCCATATTGTACCCCACCGATGGCGAGTGGGCTACTGTACATTTCAGGCACTGACAAAGGGTTGCATGTTCGAGTCACGGCACAGCACTGTGTTGTATCTTTGAGCAAGATACTTAACTCCGCTTGTTCCAGTCTACTCAGCTGTAAATGAGTACGTGGTTGGGTAGTGCTAGAATTGTAGAATGCTAGCTGTGAGCGCCGAAATGGCAGCACCGGCTGTATGCTCCATTGTAACTCCCCAGGGAGTTGAGAAAGATATTGGCTGGTGTCATAGGCCCTGTAACCACAGATAATCATTTGTGAACCACTTTGAGATGACCTTCTAACTAGGTTGTGATAAAGCGGTTTATAAGAACCTTGAATTATTATTATTATTAGTTATACAAATTTACTAAGTGTATTAGTGCACTGCTCAGTCATTGGTGAAATTGCGTCCACAAAAAATTGTGCGATCTGTGTCGACAGTCATAGTGTGATATTGCCTATTTTAATGTGATGAAGATCTAATATTATAACTTGTCTGTATGACAGGCCACACCATGTCCCAAAGAACTTAATAAGGAGATGATTAATGATGGAGCTTCCTGGACGATAATCAGCACAGACAAAGCCGAATACAACTTCTATGAGGGAATGGGACCGGTCAAGAGCCCTGTCACTCCTGTGCCTGTGGTCAGTACTTTACATGTAAGTACATCTAGGCTTCTATAAGGGGGTTAGGATTAGTCAAAAACCTGGACACTCCTGTTCTTGTGGTCAGTATTTCACATGTAAGTACACCTTTTATGAGGAGATGGGACAAGTCAGAAACTGTCACTCTTCTACCCGTGTAAGTAAAGATTATCTATCCTGTCCCCACCATTTTATGCAGGGGCATGTTGTGTTGTCCATCCTGTTCTGTCTTTTCCTGTTGAGTTCCATTATGATTCAGTGTCCATGACACGGAATCTTGAGAGAACGCAACAGGACTTACTTGTCAACAGATGTCGATCAAACTTTATACTATAGTCTATATTTAAGGTTCAACGACCATTGTCCCTGCTAATAATTGTAGAAATTTGTCTAATAATGACATTATTTTGCATGAGAGCAACAGACATTTCCTATTTATTTATATATATTTTTCTGTTTCAGTTAAATGGTGGTGGTGATGTAGCGATGCTGGAACTATCGGGGGAAAACTTCACGCCAGCACTCAAGGTCTGGTTTGGTGATGTGGAGGCTGAGACTATGTTCAGGTCAGTATCACACAGGCCAGACAGAGTGATCTCCTTGTTTACCTTCCTTCATCATGTTATACACTCTGTGACATGCATAAAGAAAGCTTATTATTCATTTTATATGTGTTATAAAGAAATCAGTTTTTAGTGTACTAAGTAATGAGAAATATTCTATCTGTGAGGCTTATATATCTAAATAAACCTAATGCTGTGTCACCAATATGTCATCTATTGTGACCATACCTGTTCCTGTAAAAGATGTACATCTAAAGTAGACATTGTTAGCAACCATTGTTCACATTCATGAGTCAAGGGAAGTAACCCAGTAAAACATCAGTCCAATCCCACTGGAGTTACCACTGTTACAACTTGTCTATATAACATTATATATCCTGGTGTAGACAAAAGACCAATACAGTATATACATGGATCTGTATGTGTTGTGTTGAACAGACCAATACAGTATATACATGGATCTGTATGTGTTGTGTTGTACAGACCAATACAGTATATATAAGGATCTGTATGTGTTGTGTTGAACAGACCAATACAGTATATATATGGATCTGTATGTGTTGTGTTGTACAGACCAATACAGTATATACATGGATCTGTATGTGTTGTGTTGTACAGACCAATACAGTATATATATGGATCTGTATGTGTTGTGTTGTACAGACCAATACAGTATATATATGGATCTGTATGTGTTGTGTTGTACAGACCAATACAGTATATATATGGATCTGTATGTGTTGTGTTGTACAGACCAATACAGTATATATATGGATCTGTATGTGTTGTGTTGTACAGACCAATACAGTATATATATGGATCTGTATGTGTTGTGTTGTACAGACCAATACAGTATATATATGGATCTGTATGTGTTGTGTTGTACAGACCAATACAGTATATATATGGATCTGTATGTGTTGTGTTGTACAGACCAATACAGTATATATATGGATCTGTATGTGTTGTGTTGTACAGACCAATACAGTATATATATGGATCTGTATGTGTTGTGTTGTACAGACCAATACAGTATATATATGGATCTGTATGTGTTGTGTTGTACAGACCAATACAGTATATATATGGATCTGTATGTGTTGTGTTGTACAGACCAATACAGTATATATATGGATCTGTATGTGTTGTGTTGTACAGACCAATACAGTATATATATGGATCTGTATGTGTTGTGTTGTACAGACCAATACAGTATATATATGGATCTGTATGTGTTGTGTTGTACAGACCAATACAGTATATATATGGATCTGTATGTGTTGTGTTGTACAGACCAATACAGTATATATATGGATCTGTATGTGTTGTGTTGTACAGACCAATACAGTATATATATGGATCTGTATGTGTTGTGTTGTACAGACCAATACAGTATATATATGGATCTGTATGTGTTGTGTTGTACAGACCAATACAGTATATATATGGATCTGTATGTGTTGTGTTGTACAGACCAATACAGTATATATATGGATCTGTATGTGTTGTGTTGTACAGACCAATACAGTATATATATGGATCTGTATGTGTTGTGTTGTACAGACCAATACAGTATATATATGGATCTGTATGTGTTGTGTTGTACAGACCAATACAGTATATATATGGATCTGTATGTGTTGTGTTGTACAGACCAATACAGTATATATATGGATCTGTATGTGTTGTGTTGTACAGACCAATACAGTATATATATGGATCTGTATGTGTTGTGTTGTACAGACCAATACAGTATATATATGGATCTGTATGTGTTGTGTTGTACAGACCAATACAGTATATATATGGATCTGTATGTGTTGTGTTGTACAGACCAATACAGTATATATATGGATCTGTATGTGTTGTGTTGTACAGACCAATACAGTATATATATGGATCTGTATGTGTTGTGTTGTACAGACCAATACAGTATATATATGGATCTGTATGTGTTGTGTTGTACAGACCAATACAGTATATATATGGATCTGTATGTGTTGTGTTGTACAGACCAATACAGTATATATATGGATCTGTATGTGTTGTGTTGTACAGACCAATACAGTATATATATGGATCTGTATGTGTTGTGTTGTACAGACCAATACAGTATATATATGGATCTGTATGTGTTGTGTTGTACAGACCAATACAGTATATATATGGATCTGTATGTGTTGTGTTGTACAGACCAATACAGTATATATATGGATCTGTATGTGTTGTGTTGTACAGACCAATACAGTATATATATGGATCTGTATGTGTTGTGTTGTACAGACCAATACAGTATATATATGGATCTGTATGTGTTGTGTTGTACAGACCAATACAGTATATATATGGATCTGTATGTGTTGTGTTGTACAGACCAATACAGTATATATATGGATCTGTATGTGTTGTGTTGTACAGACCAATACAGTATATATATGGATCTGTATGTGTTGTGTTGTACAGACCAATACAGTATATATATGGATCTGTATGTGTTGTGTTGTACAGACCAATACAGTATATATATGGATCTGTATGTGTTGTGTTGTACAGACCAATACAGTATATATATGGATCTGTATGTGTTGTGTTGTACAGACCAATACAGTATATATATGGATCTGTATGTGTTGTGTTGTACAGACCAATACAGTATATATAAGGATCTGTATGTGTTGTGTAGTACAGACCAATACAGTATATATATGGATCTGTATGTGTTATGTTGTACACACCAATACAGTATATACATGGATCTGTATGTGTTGTGTTGTACAGACCAATACAGTATACATATGGATCTGTATTTGTTGTGTTGTACAGACCAATACAGTATATATATCGATTTGTATGTGTTGTGTTGTACAGACCAATACAGTAGATATATTGATTTGTATGTGTTGTGTTGTACAGACCAACACAGTATATACATGGATCTGTATGTGTTGTGTTGCACAGACCAATACAGTATATACATGGATCTGTATTTGTTGTGTTGTACAGACCAATACAGTATATATATGGAACCAATACAGTATATATATGGATCTGTATGTGTTGTGTAGTACAGACCAATACAGTATATATATGGATCTGTGTGTGTTGTGTTGTACAGACCAATACAGTATATATATTGATTTGTATGTGTTGTGTTGCACAGACCAATACAGTATATACATGGATCTGTATTTGTTGTGTTGTACAGACCAATACAGTATATATAAGGACCTGTATGTGTTGTGTTCTACAGACCAATACAGTATATATAAGGATCTGTATGTGTTGTGTTGTACACACCAATACAGTATATATAAGGATCTGTATGTGTTGTGTAGTACAGACCAATACAGTATATATATGGATCTGTGTGTGTTGTGTTGTACAGACCAATACAGTATATATAAGGACCTGTATGTGTTGTGTTCTACAGACCAATACAGTATATATAAGGATCTGTATGTGTTGTGTTGTACACACCAATACAGTATATATAAGGATCTGTATGTGTTGTGTTATACAGACCAATACAGTATATACATGGATCTGTACGTGTTGTGTTGTACAGACCAATACAGTATACATATGGATCTGTATTTGTTGTGTTGTACAGACCAATACAGTATACATAAGGATCTGTATGTGTTGTGTTGTACAGACCGATATAGTATACATATGGATCTGTATGTGTTGTGTTGTACAGACCGATACAGTATACATATGGATCTGTATGTGTTTTGTTGTACAGACCAATACAGTATATATATGGATCTGAATGTGTTGTGTTGTACAGACCAATACAGTATATATAAGGACCTGTATGTGTTGTGTTCTACAGACCAATACAGTATATATAAGGATCTGTATGTGTTGTGTTATACAGACCAATACAGTATATACATGGATCTGTATTTGTTGTGTTGTACAGACCAATACAGTATATATAAGGACCTGTATGTGTTGTGTAGTACAGACCAATACAGTATATACATGGATCTGTGTGTGTTGTGTTGTACAGACCAATACAGTATATATATGGAACCAATACAGTATATATATGGATCTGTATGTGTTATGTTGTACACATGTTGTGTTGTACAGACCAATACAGTATATATAAGGACCTGTATGTGTTGTGTTCTACAGACCAATACAGTATATATATTGATTTGTATGTGTTGTGTCGTACAGACCAATACAGTATATATAAGGATCTGTATGTGTTGTGTTGTACACACCAATACAGTATATATAAGGATCTGTATGTGTTGTGTAGTAGAGACCAATACAGTATATATATGGATCTGTATGTGTTATGTTGTACACATGTTGTGTTGTACAGACCAATACAGTATATATAAGGACCTGTATGTGTTGTGTAGTACAGACCAATACAGTATATATATGGATCTGTGTGTGTTGTGTTGTACAGACCAATACAGTATATATATGGAACCAATACAGTATATATATGGATCTGTATGTGTTATGTTGTACACATGTTGTGTTGTACAGACCAATACAGTATATATATGGAACCAATACAGTATATATATGGATCTGTATGTGTTATGTTGTACACATGTTGTGTTGTACAGACCAATACAGTATATATAAGGACCTGTATGTGTTGTGTTCTACAGACCAATACAGTATATATAAGGATCTGTATGTGTTGTGTAGAACAGACCAATACAGTATATATATGGATCTGTATGTGTTGCGTTGTACAGACCAATACAGTATATATATGGATCTGTATGTGTTCCTGTTATGTAAAAAAAAAAATACACTTTTAGTTTCTGGATCAGACTTCTGCAATGTTGTTTTTGAAATGTGATGGATTTTGGTCTTGTTCAGTATCTATATGGTGCATTATTTAAGATGTTATAAAAACTCCTCAGTTTAATGAACTAGCTTGTTTTGTACTTTTGTTGATGTCTTTGTTACAGAGGTATTTTAACCGAAGATATATTTAACAAATTCGTTCCTTACTGTTTTGTCGGACAGGTGTGAGGACACGATGTTTTGTGTGGTACCTGATATATCTGCCTTCAGGGCTGGTTGGCGATGGGTACGACAACCCCTACAGGTGAGTCAGTGTGGTCGCCATGGCTGTTATCAGCCTTACAACAAACAAATCGTAAGCTGTGTAACAGCATTATATAGTCTACTCCTTTTAATATGAACAATATTTGTTAAAAGCACATTAAGGAATTGATGAATTCTGACTTGAGTAATGTATTCTTGAGATGTATGAACTATCACTGAAGTTTGATACAACAGTTCAGCTGTACCCTGAAATATGACTGTTTCAGTAATAAGATTATTGAACATCATAAACAATCTTATTTCTCCAAGCTCCTACTGGTACTGTTAGATTCATATGATGCTTCCTCTTGTATTGAAATAAGTGTTTTGCATGGATAAATCTATCTCCATTTTCTGATTTGTTTACAGGTGCCTGTTTCTCTAGTGCGATGTGATGGTATAATATTTTCTACAGGACTAACATTTACGTATACGCCCGAGCCGGGCCCCCGGCAGGGCTGTCGGGAAGTGGACCGCATCATCCACGGCCACTCCTCCTCCAGTCCCGACTCAACCTCACACTATAACCTTATGGATGATGCCATCAATAGGACTGCCCACTGACACCTGGAACTCTCATGTGATATTATAAACACACCTCTTATGGGTTGAAATGTCCGCTACTGCATAGTTCTAAAATCAACCACTATGTAGTTCAAAAGGTCAGCAACTACGAGCTTCAGAGATCAGTGACTAAGTAGTTCAAAGGTCAAAGACCACAGTGTTCATCTGCTTTTGTCAGAAACAAAAAACTAGATTTGTGGTCATATGACGCCAACCCAAATGCCTACCTGTGTGATCCGGACAATGACACACCCACTGAGCTCTGATTGGCTACAGTGACATGACTGACAGGTATCAACAGGGAAATGATCTGTGTTCCATAAGTGAAGGAAACCGTGAATATTGAATCCTAGGGGAGAAAGGATTGGACAACTTGTTCAGATCATTGCTTCTTGTTCTCCTGCTCTTTGTTACACAGTGCTAATTTTGCTTTTGTAAGCATTTGAAAACGTTAGTTACCTCCAATTTAGTTTCCATGGATACTGTGAAAATTCGTGCATGGTTTCTTTGGTAAATGTTAAAACCACCAATATATGTTTTGTTATAAGTTATCAGGTGGAACAAAGACCTCACTCATCCATGACCATTAATTAAAATGTCAAACATTTACAGTTACAATAGATATTTTTTAATTCACTGTTCATATTACTCAAAAGTCAAAATCTTTTTTAAAGTTTCTGATTGCTCTTAGAAAATTAGGTCAGTTGTCATTTCTTATTTTTTTTCAACATAAAATTCACATGTAGGTCATGAACTTATAGTGAAAGGATTATTTGGAAAGTTACGTTTTTCAATGTAAAATGAAAACTGTTTCACTCTATACTGTATATGCCCTTATACGGCAGCACACACATCTGACAAGTAGGCAGCACAACCCGTGGACCTTCCGTATTTCAGTACAAGATGTGTACTTTTACCAGCTTAGATGTCTACTTCGGTTTTCATCCAATTGCTTAAACTGTGTTTCTTATAATTGATTTACTGTTCAGACTTGTTGCTGATACATTGTATTACTTATAGTTAACTTTTTTCAAGCATTGTTTTGCAATTTCCTATAAAATAAAATAGAAAATAATTTAACTACTTCAAGATAGAAAACTTTAGGAGAAAATAAGGAAAGTAGTTGAAGTTTTTGTCAAAGCTGACTTCATTGATCCATGAAACTTCATAAAAATTGACGCGCTATTTACATGGTTGTACTTACGTCAGAGATTCTCTGTGAAAACTGGCCACTCAAGACAAGTGATTATATTCTAGAGTCTAGAAATTGGTACATAATTCTGTTACACCAATGAGCGAAATTATATTAATTAGCCCAGCCTAGGTAGACTACTGTACTGATCAGGATATGGATTTGACTAATGTTTACAGTACATAGATACATATGTAGCCATAAGGATCTGTGTTTAGTACAGTGCAACATACTGTGATAATGATTTCAAAGTCTAGCGCATTTCTTTTACTTTTTGAAATGACTTAATCATGAGGTGGTAATTATTGGAAACCGACTGAAAATCGATGTTGTGCCAAGGTTGCAATAAATGTACAAGAACAGATGTTCCCAGTAATGTTAATTCAGTAAGATTTAGATGTATTTCTATTGGGTTATACAAAAGTCTTGTGTTTTGATTGGTCAGTGTGAGTATGGAAAGTGTGTTTGATTGGTCAATGTAAAGTGAAATCTTGTATTTTGAAGATATAACTTTTCACTACATTTTAATGGGTTCAGAGATATTTAAGATACATATAACGACTCAAAAAGATTAGATGGTGTAAACTCTTCAACTTAATAAGATATTTTACTTTTGTAATTATTTTAGTACATTTATATTGACAGAAAATGCGATCACTCGCCTACCTGAATGTAAGCCAGGCAATTACCTCAAACTGTGGAACTTTTTCAGTCGACACATGTACACACCTGTACATTAGACCTCGTTACTCCAGTGATCATGTCAAATACCTGTCTGTGTCACCTTGTTAGTCCAGACACTTTATTTTCCAAAATAGAATAAGAAAACAAGGTTGTTTTAATAAGTTATTAAATGAAACTTTTCCAAAATAGAATAAGAAAACAAGGTTGTTTTAATAAGTTATTAAATGAAACGGTCGGTGATCAAATATTGTTGCTGTGCTAGAAACAGCATGGGAGTAATACCTTTCTTTTGTATTTCGTTACAAGTTTGAAGTTGATGGTGGTTTTACTTAATAGGCCATCAATTTTAACTGATCAACACTACCAATATCTAGTTTAAAGAAATAAATTAAAAGTTTTGATTTGAAGAAGTTTAGTTCAATAATTGTACCTCCCACAATACATTAGATAGTTTTGTAAGAAAGTGTAGAATATGCTGTGTGCTTCCCAATCTATATCTACCGACTGAAAAATATCATCTACAAAGATAAAGCATAGGTTTGTTAAATTATTGTGACTTTTGTAAAAAAAAAATAAAAAAAAAACAAAAAAACACCAATATATACATGTACAGATCACCTGAGCATCATGTTGTTGGAAATGATAGGTCTTAATAAAAGGGCATTTATTTTAGTTTAAGCTGTTACTATTAACCACTCGTTAATTTACTGCTTTTTCTTTGCTTTGTTATGTTGCTGAAGGGGTTTAAAATCTTGCATTAAGAATTTGTAGAACCTCAGTCTATTTAAAACACTTGCTGATAGGCAGTTGCTTTTTATTGTTTTAGTTTGAAATGGCATTATAAAAAACAGAATATTCGTTTAAAATGAAAAAGTTAAAATCTGTGACTCTTTATAAGAAAAGATAACTAATTGCATACATTTAATTTATTAACATATTTATTCTAACAGATCTTATTTATTTTAATAGGTATATTTAAGAAATACAAAGACTAGCAGTACATTTTGAGTTTTGTAGCAGCAGTTTTTAATTCTCAATAATCACATCGGTCTTTCTATCCACAGATAGTGTTCTATGGCATTTTTGATTTCATCGAATTACTCATTATTTGAACTGGTACTGGCCGTCGGTCGGTGTTTTTTCTAACAAAATAAGATAGTTGCAATATCTAAGTTTTACACAGCATTAAGGTTTTTGTTTTTTGTTTTTTTATGACGGTGCCTGAGAAACTAACGAAAAAATAAGATAAAAATGATGATAAAAATGGAAGAAAACAGTTAAAATGAGGGTAACATGCTCAGCCTAGTAGATTGTCACACTAACATAAAATATTGAATATTACCTCGGTAATAGATTTCTAAACAAGGTTGGGTGGTAGATAAATGGTCATGTCATAATGTGACAATAAAGGTCTGTAAGTCACTGTAGGTCACCTAAGGTTACTGTAGGTCACTCATCAGGATACTATTGGGGTGCCCTGCAATCTATGACTAATCATAAACAACAATTAATTTCTATTATGTTTTAGCATATCATGGAAAGTTTTTAGACTTCTAAAACATTTATGTTCTTCGTAAGCTTTTTAAAACTTAAATAATATTTTTATAGTAAATTTCGCAATCACTCTGATTTGATGTAAGATTTTTAATAGAATAAAACTGTATACAATAGGAAACTTAGCTGAATAAACCACCAAACACCTACAACTACTTAATTTTGACCTTCGTGACACCATATACCACGATAATATTTATTTTTAATTCAAAGAAAATCTGTTGATAAAAGCACACATTTGCTATACATTGATGTAAACACACATTTGTTATACAGCTTTCATACTAAGATAATTTGTTTTCAAAACTTGTGGTTTTTCTGATCATACTTCTTGATGCAAGTCTGAAAAATGTCAGATTCATTTGCTTCTGATTAGTGAAACCTGTCGAAATATTTTGACAGATTTTGAAATTAGCAGAAAAAATCCAATATATTAAATAAATGAAATTATTTAGACTTGCATCTAAAATTTCACTGCATGGACTGAAAAAGTTAATTTGAAAATTAAATTGACATTGGCATGCGATCTTAATTGAGAATGATAATAATCAAGCTAATACTGTCACCTCGGAAATGCCGCTCTGCCACATCTTATGTATCATTCCTCTGGCTGAAAAATGGCAGGATCTGTTCAAAACATATCATTACATTTAAAAAGAAAATTATGTACGTAAAAATTTCTTACATGACAAAGTGAAAATGAAGGCAGCAAACTATGAGAAAGAAATGGTTTATTGCTTGTTTTGGACAAATCAAGGTGATATTATGACATTTTGATGGACTCCAAAAGTTGTGCAGACTTGAAAAAACTCTTCAATAGATTTTTATAAATGAAATTTGTTTTTGGACAAGGCAGCAGGTTTGTTGGAGTTTTGGTATCATCAGCATAGATTATTTCATGTTTCTACATCGAGGATTGTTTCAAAACGTAATTTCATAATATTTTATGTTGGTATCAGATCTGCTCACAATTTGTAATTCTAGAAAAAAAATTCTCATCTGACAACTTATGGCTAAAGGGACATAACTTTAGCTTTCAGCAGAAACCATGCACAATATTTAATTCTAGAATGTTAAAAATTGTTTACCTGTTGTTGGTTTTATTAATTTTTCCATTTTGCCAAAATTGATGTGCTTTTATTATATATAATTTATATATTTCATTCTGCTTTTATAGTTAATTATGTCGTATATATCTTCCCGATGCCTGTATGAATTTACCATGTAAAAATGTTGCCTCTCTTCTGCTATAGATATCAATGTGTAAATAGATGTACATTTTGTACTATAATACTGTATTTCTATATATATAAATGTGTAAATATAATACTATTTTTCTGTCCTAAAGTGCCAGTATAATTTTTTAAAAATTAAAAAAATGATGAGTTTATGAACTATAAATTTGTCACAATAATGAGAAATGTGTATTATGAATTGAACCAAAATTTCAGGTATTATGTAAATATGTATCGGTATGTAAATAAAAAAACAAACAATTTCACCTTCAATGAACTATTTGTCGTCTCATTTACTATTTAAGAAATAATCAACATATGTGCGTGCATTATGGTGGAATATATAATGAGGGTGAGAAAAAGTTGATAAAAATAATTAATGAAGACCTGAGTTAATTATTTTTCCAACATTTTCGAATCCTGGGTTATATATTCCACCATAATGCACGAACATAAGTTGATTATTTTTATTCTACCACGTCAAATGTAACTAATTGTAAAGTTTTGCTGTCTTATAAGGCGACATGACCTAGATAATTCGATATGCAAATTAGACGCTGTTCTTTTGCGTGTGCAAGGCCCTGGTCTCTGGGGCGTGTGTCCCAGTCACATTACCTGTCGCGCACATACCAGTAACTGGAGGGCTTACATGGCTAACATGTTCGAATTCACTGATGGAGGCAATGGCTGGTCATCCTCCTGACTACCCCAGGGACGTATGTTGTCCTCTGGTATATCGTCCAAAAGTTGGTGAAGAAAAGCCTGCCTGGTTTCGCCACTGCACATAGACCTCACTACAAATTGTTTGGCAAATTGAGGATTTGGTTGGTGAAAGTCAACAACCCGACACAGTTCCCCACAATAAAACAAGGAACTTGACCTTGAAGCCATGTTGATTTTTTTTGAAAGCAGACGACGTTTCGCAGACAGGAAACAACTGAACACGTGTGACGTCAGATACAATGTTTATTTCAATCAATCAAACATTGGCACGCTATCGACATCGTTCGTCAAAACATGAAATCAACGCTTGACAGTACATACACACATCGTGAAATGTATGGCACTACCCAGTGAAGTAAAAACAGAAGTAATTAATAATTTACCATTTTGTCTTCAGACCTGTACATTTTAAATGTCAATAATTAATAAACCATTTTCACTGCACGGACCCACATACTTTAGGTCTTTAGATCCGTGTAATCTTTTGAATGGCAGGCCTGTCAAATATTTTGATCCCGCCTGACAGTTTTGCTATTTTTGTTAATTCATAATAAAATACGGGGAGGTTGTTGGAACAGCATGCGTGCACACTATTTCACGTGCATTGGTTATTGGCACGCGCATGGTATATTGCACAATAATGCACTCTTTTTAACCAATGAAAACCGTCGTTACATCACAGACGTGGTAGAATATACAATTGTGTAGCCTGTGAAGTTGAGCCTATGCGCTGTAATATTTGGTGTCAGTTGTTTCTGTGATGACAC